GCCACCTCTAGACTTTAAGAACCAGGGATGCACCCTGCGTACACCAACTCACACTCCACTGTCAGTGTAACGTCCTTAACCGCCTCGCCCTGGGCATTGGCCGCAATACAGCGGTAAGTGCCGGCGAGTGCGCGAGTTATGGGACCCAGCAGGCCCAACGCCAGCACGGCTCCGCCGTCAGGCCGGGCGCAGTGCACAGAGGGCGCTGGATTTCCATGGGCTTCGCAACGCAGTGTCTGCTCTGGGCCCTCCGGCCACGTCCAGCTCCTGGGACAGTCTGAATCGTCCAGCCGGGGAGCGTCTGCGGGCAGGGATGTGGGATAGAGAAGGCTACACGTGGACCGTGAGAAAGGTTCCACTTCCAAGACACGGCTAGGGACTGGGCAGGTCCTTGGAGATCACGAGGAGGGAGGCGAGAGCTCAACTCACATAGTACTCGCAGTTCGGTGCTCTCGTTCTTGCTCAGGATCTCCCCGTCCACCTCGAGGGTGGCGCCGCAGAAGAAGCCGCGTCTGTCGTCGTTCACGGTGGCATTTAGCTGGAACTGGGCGGGCTGCCCCGGGGCCACGGCTGGAATTCCGTCTAGAGTGACCAGAGCTCGGGCCCCAGCAGCGCAGGTTACGGTCACCGTCTTCCCCTCGGGAACGCTGGGCTCGCTCAGGGTCAGGAAGGGAGCCGGGAAGCCTAGGGGCGAAGCATTTGCCCAGAGTCGACTGACCACACCCCTTATCCGCCGGAACTCTGATACGGTGCCCCGCCTCTCTAGCTACTCAGGCTTCGCCCCTTCTCATCCCACCTCTTTGAGGTGGTCAAGCCATATCCCCATCTGGCGGCTCAGACTTCGCCTCTCTCGCTATTCCGTTTGCCCTCCATATGCCCCGCCCCTTTGGGACTCTCGGCCCACCCACTCTTTGTTCCGCCTTCGCGTTCCTCTGGCTGCACCCCTAAGCCGTGAAAGTCCGGCTTCACTCCCCCTTACTGTAGACAGTCACGTTCTCCCAGGTCTCTCGGCTCTCGCCCCCCAGGGTCATGTTGCAGACCAGCTGCGTGGCGCCCTCCTGCTCTGCGCTAGCTGTGGCTGTGGCAGTGGCTCTGAGCGCGTCCCCCTCGAGGGTGATATCAGGACTCAGCCTCTGGTCCCCCAGCGCCAGGTAGACCCGGGCTTCCGAGACTGGAAACAGCCCATCCAGGAAGCAGCTCACAGGTCTTTCCGAGCCCACTTCCAAGAGCCGGGGGGCAGCGAGGCGCGGGGGTTCCGGAGACAGTGCTTAGAGTTAAAGAAGAGAGATTGAATTTAAGTAGTGAACATTGAATATGTATGTACTAAGCGCTTTACAAGCACTATCTTATCCTGCTATCCTTGAGACACAGAGAGTAAAATAACTTTCAGCTGGTGGGTCCTGGCGTGAGGATTAGAATTCAGATTTCTCTACCTCCAAACTTCTTAAGCACTGGGCCGACCCCTCAGTGTACCCTTCCCTTTCCCACACCCACTCACCGAAGGTTCGGAGTATTCTGGGGGCCGAGCTGTTTTCAAATAACCCCAGGCCATGAGGACGCAGGTCCAGCTCCGCGCGGCACGAGAAACTGGCCCCATGGTCCTCCCTCCGCGCCAGTACTGTGGCGGTTAGCACCGCGCCCCGAGCTCGGGGTGACTCCCCGGAGAAACTGCGGCGGATCAGCTCCTGGGTGCCCCGCAGCAAGGTCATTGTGAGGCTCCCACGAGGCCCAGCGCCAGGGACCCTACAGCTCAGGGTGAAGTTCTCGCCCACAGGCTGCCAGGCAGGCAGAGGCATCAGCTCTATACGATCAGGACGCTCTGCAAGGGAGGCACCAAGGTTCTTGGAATCTCCGGGGCTCAGCTGTATGTATAGTGATACCCAGGGGCCAAGAGGGAGGGTTTGGGGATCCAGAGGATAGGGCCTGAAGGGGAGGACCTCATGCCCCAGCGGGCGGGGCCGGGAAGGGAGGGAAAGTAGTGGAGTAAGAGCCTGGCTGCTGAGAACTCACGAAAAGTACGAATGAGCCCACGCGCCTGCAGTGTGCGCCGCGCGCAGCGGAAGAAGCAGACGGGCTGGGTCTCCGGCTCGCGGATGTCCACCAGCTGCCGCGCGAGCCAGCGCAAACCTCTCTGGGTCCCATTCCGGCGTAGCGAGGTCTCCAGGCCACCGCGCTCCGGCCGTGGGCAGTTGGTGCTGCAATTCAGCCACAGCGATCCCCCGCGCTCCACGAGCGCCACGCGGGGCTGCAGGTCTGCCCAGAAAGGCTCCTGCGCTACCGCTGCCCGGAGAAATGCGGGCTCAGCCTGGGGAGCCACCTTCTTGACATCTTAGCGCCCCTAGGCTGAGTCAGGGATTCCCCGGGAAGGAGTAGAGGGGAATCAGGAAACAACTCAGGAGTCCCGCATCCTGCTCAGGCCTCAGGTTTGGAGGTGTGCACCCAGGGTACAAACCTCTAGGGTGCCTCTGGGACATGGCAGCGGAGAGCCCTGGTCTCCAAGGTGCCAATGGGGTGGAGGAAAATCACAGGGGATGGGGGAAGGTGAGAGGAAAGATGGGGTCTTCGACACACACACACACACACACACACACACACACACACACACACACACACAGCGACGCTGGGAGGAGAGGACCCCAGGTGAGGGAAGGGGAACGAACACCTAGAGAGGGGAGACTAAGGTTGAAACAAAGGAGAGATGAGGCTGAATCAAGGATAAGGGAGGACTCTAAACCAAGGTGAAGAACACTAAAAGAGGACGTGGGGCTAGGCTCAAGGAAGGAACCGCGGAAACATCGAGGAACTCGGTTGCCAGGCCTCGGGTGGGGAGGGAACAGCGCCTCTGAGTCACGGCAGTTGGAGAGATCGGGTCTTCGTGGGCCGCAAGTGAGTAAGATGTCAATCGGTGAACCATGGTGCATAGCAGAACGTGAGGCGGTACCCCAGGAGGGGACAATGGCGACATGGGGTCTCCGAGGCGCAAGGTTGGGTGCGGAAGAGAACCCAGGATCTCAAAGGGATACAGTATGGAAGAGATCTGGGCGAGCGAGGAGTCGGGAAGCTGGGTCTCCAGTGTATGTCGGAGGAAGAGATAAAGAGAAGAAAGCCCACGGCTGAAGGTGGGGACAGACGCGTGGGAGCGAGGCGAGGGCGGAGCCGGGAGGGGCACGTCGCCACTGCTCAGGTCCAGGAACTCCGCCCCCGCCCTGTGCTCCCGGAGCTGGAACGGGCTCTTACCTGAGAGGCCGACAAGCCCCAGGCCCAGGGCAGCCCAGAGGCCGCGCAGCGCCCGGCGCAGCCCTGGTGAGGGCCCTGGCATCGCCGCCGCCGGGAAAGTACAGGAAGAGAGGGGAACGCGAGCGCTGAGCTGAGCTCGAGGACGGCGCAACGCGGCGGGTGGGATGTGGAGGAGGCAGAGTTGCGCTCTGGGATTGGTTTAACGTTGGTAACTTGGTTTCCAAGGAGGGGGAGGCGGCAGAGGCGACGGTGAGGCGGGAGGGCGTGCGTGCGCCAGGCTCCCTGCCTCGGTGAAGGTGTGCTGGCAGGAGCTAGCGACCCCCGGGGGTCTACGTGGAAGCCGGCCCCGTCGCCCGGAGCCTTCTGGGGGCGGCCTCGAGCTCTCGCGTCATCCCCCGCGGCGACGCGGAGGTCGGGGGTGGGGTAATGTTGGGTTGCCGGTCTCAAACCCCCACTCCATCCCTAGCTTAGATGCTTTGAAAATGATGTGGACTCCGAGCTCCACCCTCATATTTTGCCCTTCCCACCAATTCAGGCCCCTTGCAGCCGGAATTGATTTATGGGCTTGGGGAGATTTGGAAAGCGAAGGATAGGGTAGGCACGGTTCTAGAGGCGGGTATAGAATGCTTTCTTCCTCGATCCTTCCCCTTTTGACCAGGGGGAGCTGATGATTACAGCCACGCTCCTAATCCCTCTCTGGCTCCGCCCCCGCACGCGACAGAGGGGGCGGAGACTAAAGTGTCAGGGAGTCAGGAACACGTGTTCCTGCGCGCAGTGTTCACAGGCGTCTAAATTAGGGTCGGCTCTGCTCCGGGTCTGTATTTACCCAGCGTGCAGCGGGCACGTCTACTCGGCGTGTGCGAGCACGAGCTGCGGAAGAGCACCTTTGAACTCTCTGCGCGGCGGCCAGGGCCCTGGACTGCACGGGCTCTGCCAGGTATCCAGTGCGGACTCCGATTGTGTCCACGGGAGAGCAAGAGACCAACTGTGACACTTTTGACCCCGCATCTGGGCCCCCATGTGCCCACCAGGCCCTGAGACTATCAGGACCGCGCCGGAACGCGTCTGTACTAGCCACGTGGGCCATCTGATTGCTCCTTCCGCGCAATCAACACATGGGGACCTTTTCTGCGTATCCACGTTCATCAATATGTCCATGTGACCCTGCCTATTTGTGCTCTAGTCCTCAGCGCTAACAAGTGAACTATGGGAATCAGTTCTAGATCCACTCTTGTCCTACGGGAAAGTGAAGGATCAAAAGTGAAAAGGGACCTCAGCGTCGGCCCGCAGACCTAAGGGTTGCAGGTTCAATCTCGGCCCCGGTGGGGACTAATACAGGAAGCAACCAATCGATGTGTGGAGGTCTCTCTCTCTCTTTCCCTCCCTCCCACTTCTCTAAAAATCAATGGCAAAAATATCTTTGGGTGAGGATTAACAACAAAAAAAGTGAAAAGGGCGGGGAGGAAAAGGAAACACAACACCCAATCAGAGCTGTCACGTGGTAGCAGCGGAGCCAGTCAGCAGAAGCCAGACAGTGAAGGCGCCCGCCCACAGCCCAAGGCCCTCCAGCGCCTAGGCTTTGCCCACCTGCACCGCACTGATAATGCCCACAGGAGAGGTGTTTACTACACCGGCTGGAAACAGAGATTGGGGATCCGAAGTGGACCTACGTGAGGAAACATCAGGTACCCTCAGGGAGACAAGGATCTTGGAGAAAGTGATTGTGACAAGGCAAAAAAAAAAAAAAAAAAAGACCACTTTTCAGAGGCAGTGCACTAATGGGGGACCTTCAGGCCAAGTGACAGACTGGCTGAGGAAGGCTTTATTGATATAGGCAGGGGTCTCCAAATCGTTACAGATTCCTTTTTGCTCCGGCTCAGCGGGCATGGGCCCTCTACGCCCGGGATTGCATCAGTAGGTACTTTCGAAGATAGGCCGCCCCCACGACGAGAAGAATCCCCACAAGGGCTGCGATGGAGGTGGAAGCCAAGGCTTTGGACATAGGGCTCCAAGCTGGGGGCAGAAAGTGAGAATTAGGAATGGAGCACTTGGAGGCGTGATGACCCACGTGGAGCTCAAGCTTGGCCAGCACACTCTCCTAGGGTCATAACCCTTCTCCACCCCTCCTCAAATTCCCAGGATTGCAAGGATGCCTCACCCAAGAATGTCAGCGTCATGGGTGCTGAGCTGCTGCCGACCACCAGGCCATCGAGATTGAGGCGCGCGTGGCAGGTCACTGGCTGCCAGAGGTCGTGGGGCCTAGTTCGTAATGCATAAGTCAGCGTCACGTTGGCCAGATCCAGGCCTGTGAAGTACTCTAGGCTTTCGGAATAGATGACCCGGCCGCCGCGTCGCAGAGTTATCACCAGGAAGCCCACGGGGAACACGTGCGTCACGTGGCAGCGCAGGGTGTATTCACAGCCTTCTAAGACCGGAGGCTCCAGGATCACGCTGTGCGGCGGTTCTAAAGCAAGAGGGGGCCGCTGAGCAGGTCCGCTGGCGCCCTCTAGCGCGACTGTCAACGGCCCCATCTCTGTCCCCCTCCCTTCTCCCCAGTAAGGCCTAAACCCAAGTCCCTCACTGTAGGCGTTGATCCTGGCGGTGGCCTCCCGCGTTACTCCTGCGCAGGTGATGAAGCAGTGCACATCGGAGCTCCAGGCCCTTACATCCAGCAGCTGGAAGGAGACCCAACTAGGTCCGCTGAGCATTTGACCCCGCCGAAGCCCAGTATGGAGGGTGGAATCCTCCAACAGGGGGCAGCTGCTGCTGCAGTTGAGCCACACTGAACGCCCCGGCGGCACAGCCACGAACTTGGGGCTTATGCGCACCCAGAAAGGCGCTGAGGTCTCTGAGGGCGCGGGAGAGCTGCCTCCGGAGCTTTGCGCCCGCGCAGCCCAGCGCCTCCGCGCGCTCCCGCCTCCGGAGTAGGCTGCCGCCAGCAAAACCAGCAGTGAAAGGGGGAACAGAAACCCCATGGCAAAGAGCCCGAAATAAGGGACCCCGCGCCAGGAAGCCAAGGCTGGCTCTGTAGATAAGGAAACCCAAAGCCCCGCCTCCTCAGCCCCACCCGGAGGGACAGAGGCTCCTAGAGGGCCAGGAGCCCTGCAATATATCCCGCCCTCCCCTGACTGAAAAATGGGATTCCAGATCCCATTATAAACCAAACGTTCTCGTGTTTTTCCCAGAGAGCGGTCTTTAATTTTCCCTAGAGTCTCGAAAGGTCCCAATAAAGTCAGATTTGAATTAGGGCCTCAGGACTGAGTCTTTTTTTTTTTTTGGTGGTACACGCCCCTAGTAGGAACTGAACCCAGGACTCTCTGGCCCATAGGCCGACGCTCAACCACTGAGCCAAACTGGCCAGGGTAGGATTGGGTCTTGAACAGCAGCCTTTTCTTGGGGAAGGATGTAGTACAGGGCTGTGGTAGGGCAGCTAGAAAGGGCTCCAGCTGAACATAACACCTCCCCTCAACTCACACAAGGCTGGGCTTCATGAAAAAGCTTTATTAGCACAAGGGAGAAACTTCCGGAGCTAGCAGTCAGCGCTCCCCCCTTACCCCCGCCCCCGTGGAGTGGGAAATTCCACCCTACTTGGTCTTTTGATTTTTTTTTTTTTTTTTTTTTTTAGAGAGGGTGGAAGGGAGGGAGGGGGAGAGAGACATGGATGTGAGAGAGACACATTGATCAGTTGCCTCCCGCATGCACCCCAGGGATCGAACCTGCAACCCAGATACATGCCTTTGACTGGGAATTGAACCCATGACCCTTCCGTGCACAGGCCAACACTCTAATCACTGAGCCACACTGGTCAGGGCCCCACTTGGTCTTTTTGCAGGGCACTCTTGTGCAGTGCACAGCCAATACAACTGTACCTGACAACCCTGAATAAGATTAGACTGAGCTTCCTGAGGGCAGGAACTTCTGCTCATCTTGTTTATCATTCTACCCCACATAAAAGGCACTAATAAATATCTGGTAAAAGAAAAAATGAATAAATATGTCATCATCAAGAGCTGGGGCCAGTCAGTAGACAGCACTGCCAGAGCTGGCATCTGTCAGAGGAAGTGTGGGAATTTGTGTTTTGATGCTGCCAGTGTCTGGGCAGGGCTACTTCTCTCTTAGTACTGTAGGACCTTGGCACATGCAGTAGGGGTGTTTTTCAGATGGGTATCCCCATGTCAGATATATCTCCATAATATGAAGCTATGGATGCCAGGTCAGACTAACAGTCTTTCCCCCAAGTCTTGGCTCAATCCTTTGGCTACAGGTCCGGTGTGAGTCCTAGGAGTCCTGAGTGTACAGGTGCCATAACCCCATCTCCTGTCTGTATTCTGACTGAGGCCTCTATCCTGTCCTCTGGCATTCTAGGAAGGTGGGTGCTGCTGAATGGTATATGTCTGCCACTGTTCAATGCAGCATCACTGCCTTGGGTGGAGGCCCTGTCCAGGGACAGGCTCAAGGTGGCGTGTTCAGCTTCATGGCAGCCGCCGCCTGGGCCTTCTGTAGCTTGTACTCCCGGATTTTCCGCTGGCGGTTATAGAGGTAAGCTGCTATGCCCACAATGCTGCTGATGACTAGAACCGCCACCAAAATGATGACCGTGGTGACTATGTTATTCTGGAGGTCTGTAAAGAGAACAATAAAGGAAGGTGGGGGTTGAGCCAAGCTCACTGCCCCTGCCCTGCCCAGCCCCAAACACTGACATACTCACGGATCACGTTCACAACTACTTCACGCTTGACCACCCCAAGACGGCTGGTGGCCTTACATATGTAGGTGCCTGACATATTCCGCATGACACGCCTCAGGTCCCCAATGGGCAACAAAGCCCCATCCACTTTCCGGTGACAGTCCAGCTTGGGGACTGGATTCCCCCAGGCCTGGCACTTCAGGGTCTGCTGGGAGTCTTCCTCCCAAGTCCAGTTTCCTGGGCAATCTCTCTCGTCTAGTCGGGGGCCATCTGGAGAAACATAGCAAGATGAAGGATGGGGTCAGGGACCAGAACCCCCCTCACCACCCAGGACTAGAGGAGTTAGGTAGGGAACCCGGGGTGGGGGTGGGGATAGGCTCCATAAGATAGGAGCTCATGGGGTTTTAAGGGCTGGGCCTTGGAGGTTAGGGGTCATGGTCCACTCACACAGGACAAGGAGGGTCTGGGTCTTGTTCTTGTGCAGCACCTTCCCAGCCACCTCCAGGGCAGCGGAACACAAGAATGTACGCTCGTTGTCCTCAGCACTGGCATTCAGCATGAACTGGGCACTCGGGGCTGGAGTCCCAGCTGAGGCCCCACTCAGCGTCACTACAGCTCCAGCATGGGCCTTGCACTCCACACTAACCATAGTCCCCTCAGGGACCTCAGATTCGCTCAGCGTCAGGTTGGGGGCTGGGAAGCCTGGAGGAGGGACACACAGTGAACCCTGTCCCTAGTTCTGGTTCCACACCTCCCTGCGAAGCCCCACCCTATCTCTACTTACTATAGATGGTCACCTTCTCCTGAGTCCACTGAGTCTGGTTTCCAAGAATCACTGCACAGGTCAGATGCTGGATACCTTTCTCCTCTGGGGTCACCTTGACCCAGGCAGTGGCCCAGAGGGAGTCCTTGCTGTACTCGACTGTGGGTTCCAGCCTCTGGTCCTCCAGTGCCAAGAGGACCTGGGCCTCTGAGGCCGGGAAAAGCCCATCCAGGGTGCAGTTCACCAGCCACTGTGTGCCCACTTCCATGATCCGTGGGGCAGTAAGACGTGGGTGGACCTTTGGCAGAACTGGCCAGAGAGGGTGGGTGTGAACAGAGGGGGACTGAAGCCCTTTTCTGTGGCATTTTCATTCCATCACCTGGAACTCCTCTTCCTAGGAGACTGCCACCTGGGTCATCTCTGACTCAGGACACTCGTATTCTTTACCCTGGGTCACAGCCTTCACAGAAGATCCTGTGGCTCCCCATCCCCAATACCCCACCCCAGTGGCCAAGAACATGTTCTTTGCAGAAGCCTTTGTAATCTAGGTCACTATCTTCTCAGTACCCTCATGGCAAGGAACCCCTCCTTCCCAGGAACCCCACACCCCAAGTGGGAATACCGCCTGAGCCGATCCTCTTGCAGATTCCCCAATGCCTCACCGAATGTTCGGAGCTGCCTGGGGACTGAGCTGTTTTGGAACAGTCCCAGCCCTTGGGACTGAAGGTTCAGTTCTGTTCGGCAAAAGAAATCGGTGCCGTGGTCATCTCTGCCTGCCAGCACTGTGGTCATGACCTCAGCAGGCTCCCCCACTGCAGGTTGCTGGGTCAGCAATTCCTCCCCTCGGAGCAGCATCACGGAGAGGTGGGCCCGGGGCCTTCCCCCCTTCACTTGGCAGTGTAGGGTGAGGTTTTCGCCCACAGGTTGCCAGTGGGGCAGGGGTTGCAGCTCCACATGCTCTGGGAACGCTGGGGGAGAGGAGAGAGAGTATCCTGTGAGCTGGACAGGATACCCACCAGCAGGGGCACCGTCCCTGGGCCAGGGAACCTCACCACTCTCTCCCCCAAACATACCACAAACCATCTGTCATTCAGAAATATTAAGAACTTCAGGGGAAACTGGTGAGCAGTTCCCAACTGGTTGTGAAGGGACAAAATAATTCTTTATTCACTGCAGCATCTAAGAGTGAAAAGTGGAAAAACCCCAGAGTCTATCATCAGGTGTCTGGTGAAATACACATAGTAAATTTCAGCTGCCCAGTCTACTAGAAATTGTTTTTTAAAAGACCTCTGCTCCCCCTTCTCCTATCTTGGCCTTATTTTTCTCTATAGCACCCTAACATACAAGATCATCTACTCAGTGAACTTGTTTCTCTTCTATTTCCTCTCATGGAATGTCAGCCGAGGGAGCAGGGATCTTTGTCTGCTTTGTTCCTGTCATGTTATCACACAGTAAGCACTCTATATTTACAGAAAGAATAAGGTTGAACCACACGCACTGATTCAAGGCCTTTCAGGAGCCTGCTTTTAAGAGAAAGTTCCTGAATGTGCTGTGTGACCCCCCAAAATGTTAAAAATGTAAGAACCCACAGACACTCAAAATGCAATACTGAATAGCCCCTGCAAACACAACCTGTGGACTCGGTTTTTGCAGACCAGGGTTTCCATTCTGCACCAGGTAATAGAATTATGAGCCTGGGTTGCCAGTGAAAATTTACAGTAGAGCCCTGGTGAACTATGACTTAGCACTGAGACCTCCCCTCCAGGGAGGGATCTTGAGGGCTCTGAGTCACTGTTCTTTTCTCAAGAGGCCCTGAGCCCGGTGTGGCTCAGTGGTTGATCGTTGACCCATGCACCAAGAGGTTGCTGGTTCGATTCCCAGTCAGGGACCAGTCAGGGTGCATGCCCAGGTTGTAGGCCAAATCAAGCAGGAGGTGGCCAATCGATGTTCTCTCTCATCGATGTTTCTATCTCTCTCTCCCTCTCCCTTCCTCCCTCTCTAAAATCAATAAAGAAAAAAATTCTTTTTTAATTTATCAAAAAAGAGGCCCTGAAATGTCACTTGGCAAAGCTGTTAGAGTGTTAGGGACTTGGGTTTGGTTCCTCGCTTTTCTGCTTCTTTGCTATGGGCTGTAACTTTACCTCTGGAACAGTCCCAGCCCTGAGGCTACAGAAAGGAAGCCTCAGTTTCCTGAGCTGTACAGTGGGGCTGTTGGAGGTAGGACTATTATGAATCCATTTAAAAAGTTGAGAGAAGGAATATACCTTAAGAAGCCTGAAACACCAATCAGAAAGAATATATATACCCCCATGTTCGTAGCAGCACTATTTACAATAGCTAAGATCTGGAAACAGCCCAAATGTCTACCAGTAGATGAATGGATAAAAAAGCTGTGGTTCATATACACAATGGAGTACTCTGCAGCTGTAAGAAAGAAAGATCTCTTATCCTTTGAGACGACATGGAGGGACCTGGAAAGTATTATCCTAAGCAAAACAAGCCAAACAGAGAAAGACAAGTATCATATGATCTCACTTATTTGTGGAATATAATGAACATAACAGTCTGAGGAATGGGGTAGTCCCATAGACGTGGAAGTGGGGTACAGACTGACAATCCCCAGAAGAGGGAGTGATGGGGGAGAGATAAACCACAGAACTTATATGCATGTATGCATGAACAATGGACATGGACAACAAAGCTGGGGACAGGGCAGGGAAAGAGAGGGAGGGGGGAATCAGTGGGGAAAAAGGAGGAACATCTATAACAAAAATAAATTAATTAAAAATAAATAAATAAATAAATAAAAAGAAGTTGAGAGAATGAGTGTAAATGGGCATAAGGTTTCCTTTTAGGGCAAAGAAAATGTTCTAAAATTGGATTGTGGTGATGGTTATACAACTCTATAAACACTAAAATTCATTGGATTGCACACTTCCAATCTGTTAAAAAAAAAAAAAAAAAGGCTGAGAAAACCCTCAGACATCCAGCTTTAATATCTAATCATCTGCTGCAAACCCCAACTTGTAGAGCTAGAGGCCCCCTTGAACCTCAGCCCCCACATCTCCAAGCCCAGCTCTTTGCCCTGAAAGCCAAACTGACAGAAGAAGTCTTTGCCCGTACCTCTCCTTGACTCCCCACTTTCACCAAGTCCTAGTCACTCTGCTCTTCAAATGCCTGCCCTTCCCTTCCTAAAGCAGCCATTGCACACACAACATGTGTGGACTGGACAAGGCCCTCAGCCAAGTGTTCTCTGGCTTCCCACAAGTCTAGACGCCTTCTGCTGTCTAGATCCCTGGCCTGCTCATACACCTCGGAAGTGTGGCTCCCTTTCACCCTGAGGAGAAGGTCCTAACTCTTCAGCCTGTTATTTAAGGACCTGCCAACCTCTGCTCCAGCCTCACAAATCTGTCAATGTCCAGCCCCTCCTGCCCTTCCAACCCCAGATCAGCATGTTTCCCCACTCCAAATCTTTTCAGGCTGTTCTCTCTGCCCAGAATGTCTGTCGACCAACTCCTATGCACCCTTAAAGGCCCAGTTAGGGGTCACCTCCTGCAGTCATCACAACTCTAATCTTTCTTGAGAAAGCTTAGCCACTCAGGGATATGCCTCATCTTTATGCTAAGGGTGGGGGTGGGGGGCAGGACTAAGTCAGAGTGTCTCCTAGATGCCACCCCTGCTACTGTGTGCCAGCTATCTGCTCCATTTCACAGAGGTGGAAACTAAGGCAAAGTCTGGTGCCCAGGATCACAGAGGGAGAAAGTGGCCGAGCCAGGCCTCACATCTGAAGTGCTGGGCTTTCAAATACCAGGCTGAGCTGTGGAAGGGCCTTCCAGGGAGTTTCCCTGGGGTTTTCAGAAGCCACTGGGAATGTTTGGGGACTTCCCTCACCTGGCTAGCATCTGCTCAAATATCCTCCAAATCAGAAGCAAAGTTTATATTTGCCCAAAGACTTCCTCCCCTGGACACCATAAAGATGGAAAGTCCTTCACGCCTCACTCTGTCCTTATACCCATCCCAGGAGGTCTCATGTGACAGTCAATCAAGAAGCCATGTCCCCCACAGTCACCCAGTTAGTAAGGACCATGTTGGGACTGGAACCCAAGGCTGTCTAATCTCAAAGCCAGTTGGTCAGTTTCCTTCCTTCCTTCCTCCCTCCCTCCCTCCCTTCCTTCCTGGTTTGTTTTGTTCTAATTTGAATTATTGCCTATAGTTATAGTAACTCATTATCACAGTTCAAAATGCCCAAAGGTTTAAAAAAAAATGGCACAAGAAGAAAAAAAATCACCCCTGCCCTCTCCTGGAGCCCCTCCCCTCCCCGCTGCCCCAGATAATATGGTCCTTTTTTTCAGTAAACACAACCTCCTTCACCCTACTCCTGCCACTCCCTAACACCTGAGATGGCATGCTACTCATTCTGGGCATACCTTACTTCTTTTGAACTTGACCTTTCTAGACCCTTAAAGCACACTCTTTTGGGGATACAAAGAACTTCCTCATTCTTGTTCACAGTTTCATACTATTCCACTGTATAGTCAAACCAGTTTATCTCCCTATTCCATTGTATAGTCAAAACACATTTGTTTTTCTTGGTACGTGCCCCTAGCGGGAACCGAACCCAGGACCCTCTGGTCTGCAGGTCGACACTCCAACCGCTGAGCCAAACCAGCCAGGGCTCAAAACACATTTTATCTCCCAGCCCCCAACATCTGAGTGGCTTGCAAACTTTTGCCCTCCCAAAAAAGCTGCAGTGAATAATCCTACCCCATGCCCAGTTCTCTGGGCAGGGACACATGTAAACCCATGTAAGCCCAACTCCCAGGAGTAGGGTTTCTGTATCAAAGAACACGTGCATGTGTCATTTGTTATCAATTCTTTCCACTGGCCAGGGCTAGTTTTAATTTGCATCTTTTAAAAAAAAATCAGGCCTTCCCATGTGGCTCAGTGGTTAGAGTGATGGCCCAAGCATCGAAGGGTCTTGGGTTCAATTCCCAGTCAAGGGCAAGTACCTAGGTTGCACATTCAATCCCCGGCCCTAGTCAGGGTTGTGTGGGAGGCAACCGATCGATATGTCTCTTTCAAATGAATTTTCTCTCTCTCTCTCCCCCCCTCTTCCCTCCCTTCCACTCTAAAAATCAATGGGAAAAATATCCTCAGGTGAGGATTAACCAAAAAAAAAAAAAAAGTGTTAGATCTAGGGCCTTGTCAGAGCCCTATAGAGCCAGCATTCTCAAACATGCTGAATCCCTGTTAATACTCTTAACTATACCCAAGGAAGTTCAAGGAGGGGTTTCAAATGACAAGGAGGCTTTCTGAAGATGGTGACCACCTGCCCTTCAGTGAGACCCTCCCTGGCCCCGCTACCAAACTTCAAAGGCAGTCCCAGCCTATTGTGGACTCCCCTGCCCCGCTCCCCCACCCAGCATGCCTAGTCCAGCCCCTGGGCCCAACCACTCACAGTACACAGTGAGAGACATTGAAGCTTCTGTCTGCACAGAGCGACAGTTTGCGAAGCATATTGAAGAGCTGTCTTCTTCTATGCCACTAAGTTCATAGGTCACCCAGTTGAACCCACTGGCCACTTGCTTCTTAGTCAAATGAGTCTCCAGACCCAAGTCTGCATGTTGATCACAGGAGGCACTGCAATTCACCCACACGGAGCCTCCTTGGGGTATGATGGCTTCTTTGGGGTGCACTGATGTTTGGGCACCTCCAGGACCTGGAACAAAAATGTGAAGAGGAGCCCAGCTGGTGTGGCTGTGTTTGAGCATCGACACATGCACCAAGAAGTGGCTAGTTCAATTTCTCTCTCTCCTTCTACCTTTCTCTCTCTCTAAAAGCAATAAAGAAAAAAAAATTTTTTTTTAATGTGAAGAGGAGAAAGGCACTACAAATTGGATTCATCAAGATTCCTGGGGGCACAGCCCTGAACAAGACAGAACTTTGTCGCCAGTTTGGGAGATAGCAAAATTCATGAGCAAACAAGATAATTAATAACTGATGTTTTGGTCTTGTTTGGTGTTTTTTTTTTTTAATTTTTTATTCTTTTTTTTTTCTTTGATATTTTGTTCAGATAGAGTGGGAGAGAGAGAGAGAGAGAGAGAGAGAGAGAGAAACATCGACGTGAAAGGGACACATCGAATGGTTGCCACCCTCACAACCCAACCAGGGCCGGGGACAAACTGCAAACAAGGTATGTGCCCTTAGCAGGAACCGAACCCGGGTCTCTCTGGACTGCAGGCCGACGCTCTAACCGCTGAGCCAAACCGGCCAGGGCTTTTTAAAAAATTTTTTGGTACTTGCCCCTAGCGGAAACCAAACCCGGGACTCTCTGCTCCACAGGTCAATGCTCCAATCGCCGAGCCAAACCGGCCAGGGCAATAACTGATGTTAATAAGAGCTCTGACAAAAGAAAAACTGAGTGATAGAACAGTGCCTTGGTGATAGGGTAATGTATGAGCAGAGATATGAATGATGAGAAGGGCCATCCAGAGAAAAGGGAAATGAGTTTCAAGTGCAATGTCCAGGGGCAGGGTGTCTGGAGCCGAGTCAGCATAAGGGAAGAGTTGGGGGAAATGAGGTCAGGAAAATCATGCAGGCAGTGTAAACCATGCCAAGGATGTGTTTTTCTGTTTCTTAATATGTTTTTTATTTATTTCAGAGAGAGGAAGGGAGAAGGAGAGAGACAGAAACATTGATGAGAGAGAAACATTGATTAGCTGCCTCCTGCATACCCCCAACTGGGGAATGAACCCACAATGCGCTGACAGGTGCCCTGACAGGGATTCGAACCAGTGACCTCTTGGTGCATGGGACATCGCTTAATCCACTGAGCCTCAGCAGCTGGGCAAATGTTTTTCATTCTGAGGGTAATGGGGAGCCATTGGAGGAGTTAAGCATCAGTGTCCTCACTCCCAAGAGGTCAGGTAGCGGGGCAGCCCTCTGGGGATAGAGGGGTTCTAATCAGGCTGGTTCCTCACTCTCTTTGACAACTAGTCTCTCCTCTCTGGCCTCAATTTTCCCATCTGTAAGGTGGGTAAGTATAGTGCCCCCAACCCTGCTAATGAAAGTAACTCCTAGGACAGGGCAGGGAGCAAGTAGCCACAGGTAAGGAGAAGGATTGTGTTAGCTCCCTCAGACCCTGGTGCCTCCAAAGCTGAAAAAATGTCTGTCTGAACCTCTCCCTCCTACCATACGCCCAAATATTCCTGCCCCTCAGCTTTGGGCCCACTCTATTTGGGGTAGGGGAGATACAAAAACAGCTCTCGGAAGATGATCCTGGGATCATTTCCACTTCACAGAGGAAAATGGTGAAGCCTGGCAAGGTGATGTTACTCAGAAAGCAGTAGAACGTGGACTGCAGTCTGCATTGAATGTTTTGTGGAGTTGGGAACCATGGTGTCCATCTTCTACTCTCCTGCTCCCCACTGAGATTCTCTGTCTTCCTTCTCCCTTCTCTCTGGATTTTGTGGAGGAGTACTGGGGAATCTTACTTCTCAGTCTCTGGTCCTTGGGCAAGTCAGACCTGGAATTCCCCTGAGCAGAAGCAGGTCTGGACTTCCCCAAGAGCAGGAAAGGAGGAACAAATATGCGTGGGGGTGTGGGTCCCCAGCCTGCTCAGAGGGTAACCCCGTCCCATATCAGCTGACTGCTGTGCTGGGTCGGGACACCACCAAGGCAAAGTGGCCACAATTACATTATATTTTCCATTTCACAGCTGAGAAACTGAGGCTTCGGGAGGATCAACCTATAGCCCCAGGTCACACATTGAGCGGATGCAGGTTCTAGATTCAAACCCATGGCAGTTGACTTTCTTTCTTTCTTTTTTTTTTTATCCTCACCCAGGACATTTTTCCACTTTTTGTTCAGACAGAGTGGGAGGGAGAGAGAGGAAGAGAGAGTAAAACATCGACGTGAAAGGGACACATCGAGTGGCTACCACCCGCACGACCCATCCAGGGCCGGGGACAAACTAGCGGGAACCGAACCCGGGTCTCTCTGGACCGCAGGCTGACGCTCTAACCGCTGAGCCAAACTACCTGGCTAGGGTTTGGTGGATGACTTTCAATGAGTGGCTCTAGTCCCAACTTCCCCTAAACAACTACCTAAATACCAAAGACCTTGTCGGCAGCCGGTCCCCCAAACCGCGCCTAGGGCGCAGCGGGATCCCGGGCGCTAGAAGACAGTCCCCCTCCTCAACTCACCTGGGAGCAGAGCCCCGAGCAGGGCTAGGAGCGCTGGCAGCGGGGGTCGGGTGGCGATGGGAATCATAGCGACCCAGGTAAGAACCCAGAAACCTAGAGCTGCGGACGTTTCAGGCGCGGACTGCGCGCCAAGAGCGCGCAGGTCCTTTTATAGCGGCCGGCCGCGGGGGGCTGAGGGGCGGTGCTGTCTTCCGGGAAACCTCGCGGCTTCTCCTCCCGAACGAGGGTTCTGGCATTTCCGGATTGACAGTGTCCCACTAACTGGTCTCTGGAGATTTCCCAAATTGAAGCAACGAAGCCACAATGGTGGTAGCGATCCAGAGGCTGCTCCTGGCCATAGGGGTCCTGTCCCGGGGCAGGGTTCATTTTGATTCTGTGTTTACACTGGAGAGCCCTTACGCTATCCTCGAGTATTAGGAGCTGTTGCTGTGCCCATTCCAGAGAGGGATAAACTGAGGCTCTGAGCTGTGAGGGGATTTGACTCCCCCTGCAGGCCCCTTGAACCGAGTGGACGATCCCTCGCTGGGGTGGGGTCCCATCGCTGGGGAACTCTCCATCAAGGGTGTCCCTCCCCCAAGGGGCATGCCTCCGCCTAGCTGGCACCAAGTTTTCCCAAGAAGCAGCCGGAGTGGGCTCAAGAAGCCCGCGACCATGGTCGGTGAGAACACGCGTTGTCGACACGAACCGCATTCCCCCACCGATGGGCGCCCCCACTCCCGAGGCGTCGCTTCTCCTTTCGGCCTTGGCCGCGGGGACGTCTTTACAGCTTCAAGAAAGGGGAAGGAAGTCGCGTGGTCCTAGCGCGCGGAGCTCCCGCTGCGGATCCTATGCTCCACGGGGAAACTGAGGTAGCAGACCTAAAGTGGGGAGGAGAGGTGCTCGAGCCCTTGCCTTTCCAAGGGAAACTGAGGTAGCTCCTAGGCCCCGAAGTGGGGAGGAGAGAGGGCGCGTTCAAACTTTTGTCCACCCCGAAACTCGAACCGAGGGAGGTAGCACTAAATATTTTAAGGAATTTGTCCGGGCTAGTCCCAGTAGCGCGATGGGGGCGTTGTGAAGCCCCGCGTCGCGTCTACAGGCTGCCCCCACGTCCTCGAGTCCCGAGGTCACAGCCTGTGCGTGTGACCCCAAGACTTATCATCCACTACGTCGCGGCTAGAGACTCTGGGGTCTCCGAACGCGCCAAGTCACACCGCCCAAGCCTTCCTGTTGTGGGGCGCGCGCCGCGTCGCCATGGAGACCTCTAAGGGGCCAGGGGTTCGCCCAGCAGAAGGGGAAGGGAGGGGGCCCGGGGGATGCCCCCGCCCTTCCTCCGAGGCAAGAGGTTGCCAGCCCCTTGTCATCCAGAAACGTCATCCCTCCCCCGCCCCGATGGTTCCTAAGGAATTTCCACGGGGATATTTCACTGAGGGGTGGAGGGTGCTAAGTTGCCTGGGTAAAGGTGCAGAGTGGGGACCTGGGACGTCCCTGCCCCTTGGAGGGTCTGGGAAAATCCTGCGCGGGGTGTTATTTTCCGAAGGATTTTTCTCAGTCTCGAATCGCGGGGTTCCTTAGCTTTGAATCCAAGGGCACGGGCCGCTAGCTCCCCTGCGCGGCCCAGCTACCCACTGCAGCCAGTAAAGCGTTCTTCATTCTCTCTCTCCACACTGCTGGGAACTGATGATTGAACGCCTGTTTGTACGAGGCATCATTCCAGGTGCTGGGGACACAACAAACAGGACGAAAATCTCTGCCATCATGCTGAGATGGTATTATTGGGGGCGACAGACAAGAAACAAAAAATAAAGGGTTAGCTTGTTATTAGTGCTAAGGAGAAAAATAAAGCGGGGAAAGGGAAAAAATATGAGGGTTAATACACTTTTAAATAGAGTAAAGACTGAGAAGGTGACATATGAGCAAAGACCAGAGGGAGAAGAGGTGGGAGCAGTGATAATATGAAGAAGGTAATGTGTCAAAGAACACTGAATGGTATGGCCGGTATGGCTCAGTAGTTGAGTGTCTACCCATGCACCAAGAGGTCAACTGTTTGATTCCCCGTCAGGACACATGCCCAGGTTGTGGGCCAATCCCCAGTGTGGGGCATATAGGAGGCAGCCAGTCGATGTTCTCTCTCATCGATGTTTCTATCTCTCTCCCTCTCACTTCCTCTCTCTCTCTCTCAAATCAATAAATAAGAAAAACAAAAAACAAAACAAAACACTGAATGTGCAAAGGCCCTGAGGTAGTAACTTCCTTCAGGAACAGTCAGGAAGCCAGTGTGTCTGGATTGCAGTGAAGAAGGAGGACAGTTGAAGGAGAGGAGGGCAGGGAGGGTGTAGGGAAGAGGATGCCTGCACTTGTCAGCTGTGGGATAGGGGGATTTTGGCTTTTTCTCCCTAAGTGAGGTGGGAGCCATGGAGGATTCTGAGCAGAGGAAGGACAGGCTACCCCGACTCAGGTGTTTATCGGCACCCTCCTGAGACTGCAGGAGCTCCAGTCAGGGAGTGGGAAGATAAGGTAGAAGACAGATAGGAGAGGTGACTGCTTTAGGTCAGGTAAGTAATGACTAGGCAGTGGCATTGGAGAAATGGTCCAATTTGGCATCTGTTTTGGCAGCAGAGTGGATAGGACATGATAGAACATTGGGAGCAGGGCAGAATCAAAGATGACTCCTTGGGGTCCTGCTCCGACACTCTAAGGGCCATTTCCTGAGTGAGGATGGGATGACAATGGGGGACAGGTTGGCAGGAGGAGCATGCACCTTCCCATCTCACACTCCCTTTGTGTTGTTTTTTTTTTTAATCCTCACCGAGGACATTTTTCCATGTTTTGTTTAGATAGAGTGGATAGAGTGGGAGGAAGAGAGAAAGAGAAACGTCGACGTGAAAGGGACACATCAAGTGGTTGCCACCTGCACAACCCTGCAACCAAGGTACGCGCCCTTAGCGGGAACCGAACCCGGGTCTCTCTGGACCGCAGGCCGACGCTCTAACCACTGAGCAAACAGGCCAGGGCTCCCTTTGTGTTTTTTTCAAGGCAAAGGGAAGCACATGGTCCCTAACCCTTTGCTGCAATCTCCAGGAAAGGCAGGGCTTCCTCCAGAGTGCCAAGCAGTCTCAGGCAGGCCAAGGAATTAGCCCAGGGCAGAAGTATCTATGCCTCACTCCATGGCATTACGCTTGCTCCTCCCTCACTCTGAGCACCTTGCAGTTTCCTCCACCTGAATGCTCTTTTCTTATCCCTGACATGGCCTGTCCCTATTTTCTTTTTTTTTAACTCTTTTTTTTTTTTTAATCCTCACCCGAGGACATTTTTCCATTTTTTGCACAGATAGAGTGGGAGGGAGAGAGAGGAAGAGAGAGAGGGAAACATCGATGTGAAAAGGACACATCGAGTGGCTGCCACCCGCACGACCAACCAGGGCTGGGGACAAACTGCAACTGAGGTACATGCCCTTAGCGGGAACCGAACCCGGGTCTCTCCGGACCGCAGGCGGATGCTCTAATCGCTGAACCAAACCGGCCAGGGCTGTCCCTATTTTCTTATGGCCTGAGCCACCCCCCAAAAACTTTCCTGAATGACCCCCATCCTGATACTGGGCCATATCTTGTTCACTCCCTGTTCCTTGCCCTAATGGATTCATTCTGAAACTTTATTCACTTGCTGAAATTCTTTTGATTTATTTGATTGTCTGTGACCTCCATTTCTGTGAACTACAGAAAGGCAGGGACCCTGTGCACCCCAGAACCTAAATAAATGAATGATCAATGAATGGTCATTTTAGCAGGTGATTGATATATACTTGAATAACTTGTCTCTGAACATTCTTCACATGCTGTTCTTCCAGCCCAGAATTCCCTTCCCACCACTTTTACAAAAGGTTCCCAGAGAATTTCACTCACAAGGTTGACATGCAGGTAGTTTATCTGGGAGGTGATCCCAGGGAATACCTGGGGCAGGGAAAATCAGGGAAGGGATACAGCAAAAGTGAGCATTAGTGGATTTCCCCTTTGGGGGCAACTGGAGTTCATTTCACTGGAGAACTTTTGGTGATAGGTAGACTCCACCAGTCTTTGCCTCATTGGGTAAAGTCTGCTTCAGGAATGTCAAATCCCAATACTTCATATATACATATATATATACATATTACATATAACATATATAATTTTTATTAGTTATATATATACATAATTTTAAGTCACTGTACATTATTTCCCCAAGACTTATCTTTTCAAAATTTTTATTAATGAGAGAGAGAGAAACATCAATGTGAGAGAAATACATCGATTGGTTGCCTCCCCAGCCTGGGATCAAATCTACAACCTAAGAATATACCCTGAACAAGAACTGAACCTGCAACCTTCCAGTGCACGGGATGACGCACCAACCAACAGAGGAAACCACATCTTTTTTTTTTTTCTTTATTGGTTTTAGAGAAAGAAGAAGGGAGAGGGAGAGATAGAAACATCGAGAGAGAACATTGACTGGCCACCCCTGCACGCCCCTCACTGGGGATTGGGCCCACAACCTGGGCATGTGCTGTGACCAGGAATCGAACTGGTGACCTCTTGGTGCATGGGTCGATGCTCAACCACTGAGCCACACCAGCCGGGCAAACCACATCTTCTTTATCCATTCATCCATCATGGACACTTAGGCTGTTCATCTTGGCTACTATAAATAATGAACATGGTGTTGCAGATATAATTTTCAGGTAGTGATGAAATTGAGAAATTCACATAACATAAAATTCACGTTTTTGCCTTTTAAGGGCTTTCTAGTATATTCACTATCTTATACAAATGTAACCACTATTTAATTCCAGAATATTTCCATCACCCCCAAATAAAACCTAGTACCTCCCATCCCTCCTATGCCTAGCTTCTAGCAACCACTAATGTACTTTCTTTCTTTATGGATTTGAATATTCTGGTCATTTCATATAAATGGAATTAAATAATATTTGGCCTTTAAGGTGTCTGACTTTTTTCACTCAGCGTGATGTTTGGAATATTTACCATAAAGATTCATTCATGTCACTCAATCACTAAGCCACATTGGACGGGCCATGTAGTGTTTTATATGAACATGTTTTGTTCCTTGAGGTATATACCTAGAAGTGGCATTTGGGGTCACATAGTAATTCCATATTTAACTTCTTAGGGACTGCCACACTATGCCAGTGGCTGCACCATTTTACATTCCCACCAGCATAAGGGTTCAAGGGTTTCCATTTTCCCACATCCTTGCCAATACTTATTTTCTATTTTATTATTACTAATATTGCCATCATTCTTAGTGGGAAGTGGTATCTCATTGTGGTTCCCCAGTCCTGACTTCCCGGTATACAAGCCCAGCATGGTCTTGCAGCATAGGAAGCTGGGAGTGTGCACAGGACAGCAAGGGGCAAGGGGATGTGGTTGGTCACAGTGCTAGAGTACCTGTCATAAGCTGTGACATTAAACAAGCCACTTCCCCTTATTGCACCTTAACGGCCTCAGCTATAGAATTAGACAATAACACATACCTAAATGGGTGGATGTGAGATTTCAATAAGACAATTCGTGTGCAGTGCTTGGCACAGCCAAGTACAGGGTGAGAACATATAGTAGTATTTACTGTTTCTTTAGGACTCAGCTCTGAGAATCCCACCTCACACTTCTAGGAAGAAATACGTGCTTTCTCCTTTAGGTTCTTGTTCACACTAGCATTACAGCTCCCCTAGTGGCCCTACCTTGTAAAGGAAAAATCCATGAAGTTTGGATATCATCAAAACAACTTTGCTTTTCCCTCCACTGCTTTATTCTGTAGTGGAATCTTGCCCTATCCTGGCTGAGAATTCTGCCTGGGATTCAGGCCCAGATCATCATTACATTCAAATCTCTAAACTTGACTTGGTGTCTGATGGGTGTCTCGGGGTCAGGCCTCTTCAGGCTGAAGGCCTCAATGGGGAAGAAGGGCTTGGTCCCTTTGCCATTGACCTTCTTTCTGCCTACCTTGCCCCCTCTCACCAGCCTCTGGGTCCTTCCTGCCCAGATGCACGGAGGAAGGGACAGGGAACAGGGCAGTTCCTCCTTGGCTGATGGCTTTGCCCTCTTTGGATGTCAGAACAGTGTGTTCAAGTGGCACCCCCTGGTGGATTTGTGTTTTGAGGAGTTCTGAGGTTTCCTTTTTCCTGGAGACCTCTTTGCTGGGTTGGAGCATTTGTTATGGCTTTTTCCAGCCCCTGCCCTGGGATCTGGTCCTACCGCCTCGTCCCTCCCAGGGAGTTTCTAGATAAACTGAACATCAATAAACAGACCCTCTGTCTCCACCATCAGAGCTACCTGCCTCTTGCCCTCTGGATTCCCCAGGAGTCAGATCCCAGCTTTCCTAGTCTGAATCAGCCTGTCCAGGGCAGCCTTTACAAAGGACACTTTCCAAAAGCTGTTAAGTCCCCTCCCTCTCTGGGCTCTGGGTTAGCTCTGTCCCTAGAGGGTGGGATGGGGACTTGCAGGTAGCAACAGCTCCCCTTGAAGAAATGTCTTCACCCATCTATTTTTGTAAATTACTATTATTTTTTAATCCTTACCTGAGGATATTTTTCCATTGATTTTCAGATAGAGCAGGAGGGAGGGAGAAACATCAGTATGAGAGAGATACATCAATAATTGATTGCCTTCCGCACGACCCTGACCAAGGCCAGGGATCAAACTGCAACCAATGTACATGGCCTTGACCAGAATTGAACCCTTCACTCTTTGATCTGCAGGCCGACACTCGAACTGCTGAGCCAAACTGGCCAGGGCCCATCTCTTTTTTAATTTTTATTTTATGCATTTATTTAAATGTTTTTATTGATATTTTAGAGAGGGAGGCAAAACATAAACACTGATGTGAGAGAGAAACATTAATCAGCTGCCTCCTGCATGTCCCCTACTGGGGATTGAGCCCACAACCCAGGCATGTGCCCTAACCAGGAATTAAACTGGGACCTCAGTCCATGGGACGATGCTCAATCAAATCCACTGAGCCACACCAGCCAGGCCCATCTCTCTCTCTCTCTTTTTTGAAAATGGCTTTTTACTATAGAGATTTTCAAACAAAGGCAACAGCAAACAGGGCATAAGATGAAGCCATATATGCCAGCGTCCACAGTTCTCACAGCCAATCTTTTTGTTCCATCTCTTCCCTTACATACTGTCATGGATTAACTATTTCTCCTCCTTGCCAAAAGAAAAATAAAAAGGAAAGAGCCTGGCTGGTGTAGCTCCGTGGTGGAGTGTCGATCCATGCACCAAGAGGTCGCCAGTTTGATTCCTAGTCAAGACATATGCCCAGGCTGTGGGCCCAATCCCCAGTGGGGGGCACGAAGGAGGTGGTCAATCAATGTTCTCTCTCACTGATGTTTCTATCTCTATCTCCCTCTCCCGACCTCTCTCTCCCTAAAAATCAATTAAAAAAATTTTTTTTAAAGGAAAGGGAAAGGACCTTCTAACTTCCAGTACCTGTGAATGTGACCTTATTTGGAAATAGGGTCTTTGAAGATGATAGAGTCAAGATGAGGTCATTAGGGTGGGCCCTAACCCAAAATGGCTTGTGTCCTTATAAAAAGGGTAAATTTGGCCCGGCCAGTGTGGCTCAGTGATTGAGCATCAACCCTTACTCCAAGAAGTTGCCGGTTCAGTTCCTGGTCAGGGCACATGCCCAGGTTGTGGGCCCACTCCCTAGTGGGGGGCATTCAGGAGGTGGCCAATCAATGTTCTCTCTCATAGATGTTTCTATCTCTCTCCCCCTCTCCAAAAAAAAAAAAAAAATTTCTTTTAATAAAAAGGATAAATGTGGACACACAGGGACACCATTTGAAGAGGAAGGCAGAAATTAGAGCGATATGACTACAAGCCAAGGGACAGAAAGGATTGCCAGCAAACCACCAGAAGCCAGGAGGATAGGGATGGAAAAGATTCTCCAACACAGCCTCAGAAGGGGCCAAACCTATCTGACACCTTGACCTTGGACTTCCGGCCTCCGGAATTGTAAACTGATACATTTGTTGTTGATGCACCTCCCGCCCCCAATCTGTGGTACTTTGTTATAGCACCTTACACACACACTCTTCCCACCAATTACTTAAAAGCATATTCTAGAGGTCTAACCTTTTTTTTTAGGATGCCTTTTCCCATTCTGATCTGAATGAGGGATACTAGTGCAGGGAACAAGTTCCTGGCCCATTTTTTGAAAATCCATTGGGCAAGGGTTGGTCTTACTGTTTTCTGGTGGCTGTTAAGTAAACAACTGAGCCATATTACTTTCAGACTTCAAGTTATTGACTATCTAGACTAGGCTAGGTGCTATCAGGACAATAGCTGGGTCGTACTTTAAGCCTTGTTTCCTCATGGGGTCAGCCACAGGCACAGGAAGAGGAAGGTAAGTTTGGCTCAAGCCCACACAGCACTGCTGCTCAGATTCTGCACCCCTTCTTACTACTGGCTCCAATGACTTTTTTTTTTACTTAGTCAAACCTGGTGCTTTAAGGATAAAACTTGCCCAGCTGGTGTGGCTCAGTGGTTGAGTGTCGACCCATGCACCAGGAGGTCGCTGTTTTGATTCCCAGTCAGGGCATACGCCCAGGCTGTGGGCCAAATCCCCAGTGGGAGGCATGCAGCAAGCAACCAATCAATGTTCTCTCTCATTGATGTTTCTATCTCTTTCTCCCTCTCATTTCCTCTCTTTCTAAAATCAATAAAGAAAAAAAAAAAAGCATCAAACTTTATGTCCACTGAGAATTTTTTTTAAATTCCTCACCTAAGGATATTTTCTTACTTATTATCAGATAGAGTGGGAGGGAGGAAGGGAGAGAGAGAGAAACATCAGTGTGATAGAGCCACATCAACTAGTTGCCTTCCGCAAAAACCTACCAGGGCCAGGGATGAACCGCAACTGAGGTCTGTACCCTTGACCGGAATTAAACCTGAGACTCATTGGTCCTCAGGCTGACACTTTAACCACTGAGCAACACCAGCTTGGGTCCACTGAGGATTTTCAAAGAATGTGTTTCAAGCTCTAAAGTCACTTCCAAGAGAGGCATTTCAGAGATTTTTGATGAGGGACAGCCTAGTTGATGGGTAATCACTGTGGCTGCCTGGCCTGGCTAGGCCAGCCCACACAGATGACAATTCTGGGTGATTCAAAAAAATCGGCCCCATTATTTTATAGGCTATATTATGACTATTAAAAAAAATTAACTTGGGCCCTGGCCAGTTTGGCTCAGTGGTCAAAGTGTCAACCCATGGATCAGAGTCCCAGGTTTGGTTCCTGCTAAGGGCACATGCCTCAGTTGCAGTTTGTCCCCGGCCCTGGTTGGGGTTGTGTGGGTGGCAACCAGTCGATGTGTCTCTCTCGCATTGATGTTTCTCCCTCTCTCTCGCTCTATCTGAAGGCAAATGCAAAAAAAAATGTCCTCGGACGAGGTTAAAAAAAAAAAATTAACCTGGGTGGCAAACATCATCAACAGACTCAAGAATTAGGGTATTGGTCTGGTATCTTTAAAAATGTGTTTATTCTCCCATTTATTGATCACATCGATTCTGATTCTGGGCTCAGGGGAAATCACTCTGATGGAAGCTCAAGTTTGTATATGGCACCTACTTGTGGAACGAAGCCCATACATCGGACTGAATGACTGTAACAAATGGGACCCCAAACCCTATCAGGAAAGCAAGTGTACAGTGACAATGCCCAGAGCAGATTCATAGGGAAGGACAATGCTCCCGCTCATCTTTGAGTTCCTGGAGGCTGACTCACCCGAGGGAAGCTGATTCTGGGTCATTTCTATTAGCAGCACTGAGGTTGCTCCTTGAGGAGAGAGGTACTGGTGGTGCCCAGCACCAAGGAAAGAGCCCCAACTTGCCAGATGGAATTATTCACAATGTGGCAATGAGCTTTTCTGTTTCTCCTCTGTGACTAAAAAATAAAGTTTATCTTGAAAACAGAAAAGAGAGAATTGGGCAGGAGCTTGATCAGGCCCTCTGCCAAGCTGTCCCTTCCCGATCATGACGCCTGCCTGGCCTGCCCAGCCACTCTTCATGGCCTCAGCTTCCTACTGGGACAAGGGATTCTGGGAAGTGCTGCTCTTGCAGGGTGGGTGTAAGGCCTCCAAACAGGCCAAGGGCTGGGCCTGGCTCAGAGCAGGCACCTGGCATGGAGAGCGGTGTAGAAAGACAGCCGATGGGTCCTGGGGCGCCAAGGCTGGGGCTCAGGGGAAGTCGCAGTAGGGCAGGCGGAAGGGGTAGAGAGGTGTGTAACGTGAGTCCTGCCAGAGCAGCTTCTTCTCCAGAAAGGCGACAGTCTGCAGAGTCAGAACCAGTGTTTGGTGCTTCAGCATGCTGTGCACGTTCAAGCCTGTGGGCCAAGGAGTGCAGTCAGAGCAGGGCTGTACTCCATATCTGGAGCCCCTTTCCCTCCTCCTGGGAGCACGCTCCCTTACAGAGACACCATGGTCTGGCATGGAGTTTGGAGCCCCCCAGCCTGGGTTCAAACTCTGGCTCAGCAGCTCACTATTGGGGAACCCTGGGCAAGACTGTCAACCTAGCTTCATGCCCCCTGCTTGGTCATGATTCCCATGGATGGGTACACACCACAGACAGAGCAGATGAATAAAAACAATGTACCAAGGATACCCAGGGTGGCTGTGGTAGGTGAGGGGGCTAGAGGGAGGCAGGGAGGCAGGGAGGGTAGGGATGGGACAAGGCAGGTCATGCAGGATCTGGTGGGTCTCCAGGAGACTTGGGCTTTTCTCCTGAGTGCAGTGGGAGACATGGAGAGCAGGGTGCTCACAAGTGTCTTCTGGCAGCTGGGGTAGGGGAAGACAGACTGTGGGGATGAGGGCAGAACAGGCTAGCCTAGGGTAGAGAGGTGTTCAAATTCTGGGCATGTTTAAAGGCAGAGCTGACGCGTGAGCTGACTGACAGGAGTGGAGGGTAATGGTGTGGTGTGGGGCCTAAGCCACTAGATGGAAGGAGATGCCTATGAGACCCCCTTGTGCAGCTATCCAGGAGGCAGCAGGACATGCAATCAGGAGACTGGGAGAGAGCTCTGGGAATCAGTCAACACAGTGAAGGGTGTGATGTGCTCAGGACAGACCCGATCTTGCCTCTCTGAGTGAGGATCCAGGTGGGGAAGTGGGCCCTCACATTCACTCCATAACCGGCACTGTGACTAGAGCTTGGACAAATGTGATCAGAGCATTTAAGAAAGACATCATCAACCAGCTGGTGTGAATCGCTGATTGAGCGTCAACCCATGCACCAAGAGGTCACTGAATCGATTCCTGGTCAGGGCACATGCCCAGGTTGTGGGCCCGGTCCCCAGCGGTGGCCATGCAGGAGGTGGCCAATCGATGTTCTCTCTCATCCATGTTTCTATCTCTCTCTCCCTTCCTCTCTCTCTAAAAATTAATAAAGGAAAAAAAATAATAATAAAAATTTAAAAAGACATCATTTTCCAAATGCTGTTTGGGCCAGTTCAGAGTCAGGGAGGGTGATTCCTGTCCAAGGCCAGTCAGTGACTGAGAGACACATACAGGATTTGAACTGACCCATGCACTCTCTGGGGACCTGGGGGTGGACCAGTACCCTTCACTCACCCACAGCTGGGACCAGGTTGAAGGTCTTAAGCCCGGATGTGGCTGTCACGATGTTCGGAGGCATGTCCTCATGTGTTCTGAAACAGAGGCCAGGAGATGAGCCCTGCAGAAGATGGAGCTCAGCACCCCCACCCCCGACTCTGTCCTAATCCTCACAAGTCCACCAGCAGCACTGAGTCCCCCCAGCGGCGGAAGCATGCCAGCTCCACCAGGTACTGAGGGTCTGCAGTTGGCAACTCCAGGGAGTCCACAATGTGCAGGTTGTCCTGGTGGAAAGAAAGGATAGAGGGTCTGAGCCACCATATCCCCTTCCACTGCCATCCATGCTCCCCAGCCCTCACACCCCAGGACCCTAGTGGCTCCCGATGGAATCAGGGCTATACCTGGGCTAGCTTGATGGTCAGCGCCACTTTGAGGCCCTGCACCCGCACTTTCATGGGTAGCATGTAGTAGTAGCTTGTGGGGCCCCGGGGGCCATGGGCAATGCCTCCTGCAGGGACAGAGGTAATATAAACAGGTGAAGGCCCAAGTTGGACTTGGAAGTCAAAAATTAGCCTGTGGATGGAATGGGGTTGGGGATGGGGAGGCTGCCAACAGTCAGGCTCAACTCCAGCAAAGAGGGCAGGGACTCAGGTAGGGATGGAGAGGAGAGGCCTGATTGGGCATCAACTAAGAAAGGTGGCTTCACTTCCCTGGGCCTCTGTTTCTTCAACCATCAAACCCTGAATGAGGACTGTCTACCTGTGTGTGCACCCTCTAATGGGCCCTGGGAGTACAGCAGAGAACAAGATGGAAGGATCCCTGCCTTCATGCCATTCATATTCATGCAGAGGTTTGACCACAGAGGGAATCAGGGCTGGGCAGGGCAGGGCAGCACAGGAGTTGTAGGGGGTGGGGTGTGTGGGGGGCAGGGAATCCAAAGGAGGTCAGAGAGGGCTTTCTGGAGGAGGTGTGGCCCAAACACATCAGAAGGAATAGCAGAGTTGGCCAGGCAAACGAGAGATGACTCTGAGTCAGTGTCATCTGGACAGAAAGGGTGTGAAGGGGACATGGGGAGAGGTCTGCAGCCACCAGTTCCTGGAATGCCAAGGTAAGGAGCTCAAACTACACAAAAAGGTCACAGGAGCTGGGAGGTTTAGGAAGATTCTCTGGATGCTGTGTGAAGTGTGGGACAGGAAAGTTGAGATGGGAGGTGGGGCCAGAAGGGGCTGTGGCCATAGTCTGAGAGAGGCCAAGGCCAGAACTGACAGAGGGTGGGGGGAGTAGGGGAGAATAGGGGGATGGAGAAAAGTGGATTACTCTCAAATCTCTGCCTGCATGTGGGCAGTGAGGTGTGTGGGTCCAAGTCTTGCTGCCCCTGCCCCAGGTGGGCTGATGAGGCGGGGAAATGGGAATGACAAGACGTCACGTCAGATGTGTGTAAAGAAATGCCTAGACCCCGAGTTAGCTCAGAGCCTCCTCCCTGCCCTGCCAGCTTACCTCCTCGCCATATCGGGGAGCGGATGCTGCCATGCCTTGCACGCCCACTGCCTTTCTGTTGCCAGGGCTTCCGGCCACCACCCCGCACCTCGGCTCTAGTCTTGGTCTTGGCATAGCTCTGTGAACACAAAGTGAGGAGGGGTCAGATTCATGAAGTCAAAAGGAGTCAAGCCTAGGATTACAGCAGTGACCTGGGAAGGCTGTGCCTCTTGCTGGGGAGCCAGACAGGAGACAGAGAGATTGGGGTTCCATCAGGATAAGCACAGATCACCTTTGGAAGGAGGAAGGATAAAGAAATCAAAAGTTTCCTCCTCCACTCCAGAATGTCAGCCTCAGAAAAAAGCAGGGGCTCTGCTGCCTGGTACACAGTAACTGCTTAGTATTTTTTAAATGATTTCAATGTGGCTGCAACTGAAAGGAAGACAGAGTTCGGAGAGAGAATTAGGGAGAGGTGCAGGGTGGGGAATCACGAGGGACTTTCAATCCAGACTGATGACTTCATTCCTAGGGTGATGAGGAGCCAGGGAGGGTGTGGGCAGGAGAAGAACTCGCTAGACTTCTGAGGTGGGCAGATGGAAAGCAGAGAGATCCTGATTGATAATAGCTTCAACGATCTTGTGTAAAATCCAAGGTCCTCACCATTGCTCCTGCTGACCTTCTAAGCCACATTGGACTATCTTTGGTCCCTGTCACAGGGCATTTGCATGTGCTGTTTCCACTATCTCCATCTCAGCCCCACCATCTCCTTCATCTAGTTACTCTTACTGCACATCAGAGATTAAATGCCCCTTTCTGTGGAACAATTATACATTTACAGGTATGACTACTTCATTTATGTTCACTTCTCCAACTAGAATGTGAGTTTCATGAGGTCAGGGATCTCACCCGTCTCATCCACTAGCACAATGCCTAGTCATAGTGGGTATTCAGAAAATGCCTGGCAAATGACCCATCAGTGAATGGTCAGGAGGGAGAAGACAGGCTCAAGTCCAGTAGTCCAGAAACAACACACCAAGAGGCTTCCTCTGCCCACCTCACCCCAGTAGGGACACACAATACCCCACTTGGTACACTCACAATTCTCTTGAAGTTCTTCTGCCAGATAGCGACCTGGTGCAGGATATCTAACCTGTGGAGGAAGGAGACATGAGAGGTCTGCCTCCACTTAAAATGCTCCCATAGTCCCTAACCCACTAGATGAAGACCCAGGCTCCTCCCTTCCACCACCAGGGTTCTATATGATCTTCCCAGGCCTTTCTTTGACCTCAGGTCGTGCCACCTTCACTCCTCCCTCCATTCTGTTCTGTAAAATGGAGACTGGCCTCCAGGCCTTTGCATTTGCTGCTCCCTCTGCCTGAAATGCTCTTCACCTGGCTGGTTCCATCTCAGCCTACAGGTCTCAACCCAAACATTATCACCCAGAGGAGCTCCCTTGCAAAAGAGAGAGCTGCACCTTCCTCCTTTCCTACCATTAAAGCTTAATGCCACCTTGTTTAAAAAAATGTTTTCTTTCCTTTACTGATTATTATTTTTTTGGTACATGCCCCTAGCGGGAACCAAACCCAGGACTCTCTGGTCCACAGGCCGATGCTCCAACCGCTGAGACAAACTGGCCAGGGCTCTTTACTGATTTTTAGAGAGGAAGGGAGGAGAGAGAGATAGAAACATCGATGAGAGAGAACATCAATTGACCGCCTCCTGCATGCCCCACACTGGGGATCAGGCCCAGGACCTGTGCATGTGCCCTGACCAGGAATCGAACTGGCGACCTCTTGGTGCATGGGTCCACAATCAACCACTGAGCCACACTGGCCAGGCTAAGGTCACCTTCTTCTTCTTTTTTTTTAATCCTCACCCAAGGACATTTTTCCATTTTTTGTTCAGATAGAGTGGGAGGGAGAGAGAGAGAGAGAGAGAGAAACATCGACGTGAAAGGGACACATCGAGTGGTTACCACCCGCACAACCCAACCAGGGCTGGGGACAAAGGTACATGCCCTTAGTGGGAACCGAACCCGGGTCTCTATGGACCTCAGGCTGACGCTCTAACCACTGAGCCAAACTAGCCAGGTCTAATGTCACCTTCTTTATGAACCTGTTTGACTCTTTAGTCCGGTGCTGTTCTATACAGTAGACACTGGCCACATGTATGGCTACTGAACATCTAAAATGTGGGCAGTGCCACATTTTAAAATGACAATACTTTAGCTATATCAGGTTAAATATGTTATTGAGATCAATCTCACTTGTTTCTTCCTATTATTTTTTATATGTAGATACCAGAAGAATTTAAATTACACATTATGTGGCTCACATTATGTGGCTACATTGGACATGGCTACCAGGATAGCAGTCTGCCAGGGGTTGGAAAACTATGGCTAGTAGGCCAAATCTGGCCTGCTGCCTCTTTTTGTAAATATATTTTAGTGGAACACGGCCATGCTCATTTATTTATGTATCATCTATGGCTTCTGCACTACACTGGCAGAGATCAATAGTTGCCATGGAGATGTTATAGTCAGCAAACCCTAAAACATTTACCATCTGGCCCTTTACAGTAAAAGTTTGCTGACTCCTCCTCTAGACTGTAAGCAATATTAGCGTTCATTCACTATACCTAGAATGGAATCAGGCACATAGTAGGTGCTTCATAAATATTTACAAAATAAACAAAATATGTTGTTTTTAATTTTTTCTGTCACTCTGTACTAGATTAGGACTCTGTACAGGCAGAGGCAAACCATACAAATAATTGTAAGAGTAACGAATTAATAACACTTATTATGGGCCAGACACCATGTACATGAGAGGCATCACACACCCGGGCAAGCAATAACCCAGCCCTGGGAGTTGGCCCACATACGGTTGAGATCCTGGCTCTAAAGCTTACAAGCTGTGTGACCTTGGGCAAATTTCTTAACCTGTTTGTGCTCAGTTTCCTTATCTACAAAATAAGGGTAACAGAACCCCTTCCTAGAATTGCTATGAGATCTAGTTAATTAAAATGCAAATATGTTGTACCAGGTACACACAATAAGGATTTAGACATTGTTAGTGACCAGTTTTTTTTTTTGCAAAAACCAGTAACAGCAACAATAACTAACATTTCTGTAGAACTCATGTGGCAGAATTAACTCATTTAATCATCACAGCAACCTCTTGATGTTTGACAGAATGGGGGAAAGCAGGATTTGAAAGAGCTTGTGCGTCCTTAAGCTCTGCAGGCTCCAGAGTTCTATGTCCTTAACCGGTCTAGAGGATGTTACCTCTCAGCTCTCAACCTCACCCCTCTACAGCAGGGAAAGCCATCATCCTCTCTTATTGATTTTTTTAGAGAGAGAGGAAGGAAAAGAGACAGAAACATCTATATGAAAGAGAAACATCCATGGGCTGCCTCTTGCACGTCTCCCACTGGGGATGGAGCCAGCAACCCCGGGATGTGCCCTGACCGGAATCGAACCGGTACCTCAGTCCATGGAACGACGCCCAATCCAGCGCCACACCGGCGGGGCCCATCATCCCCTTTCCAATAGGTTAAGAAACTGAGGCTCAAGCCCAGGTCAACCTGATTCCTAAACCCGCGTCCACTGCCCCTTTGCCACCCAGTTCACCACTTAAGCTCTCGTTCACCTAGGCACCGTGGAGAAAATGTCGGGGTGCAGCTCGGCCAGACCCACGCGCTCCTGCTCGAAGTCCCGCAGGGACTCGACCCAAGCCTGCACCGGACGCCGGTGTGCAGGTACGGGAAATTCGCACTTGCGTAGCACTGGTGCCTGGAGACCTGAAGCAATTGGGGAGTAAAGGGTCAAGGACAAAGGTTAGAGCTCCCGGTCGCCGCACCTCCTGAGGGCGACCCCAGCAACCTCACCTGCGGTCGCCACAGGCTCTGGCTTCTCCGGAGGCTGCACTGCATCTTCCGCCAGCACGTTCAGGCTCTGTAAACGATGAGCGAGAGTGAGAGACGACCCCGGGACCCTCCAACCTTTGTCCTCCGACCCTGCCCCCAGTCCCCGGTCTCACCTGGCAGCGGGTGGGCGGAAGCCAGGCCCGCGCCCCGGCCCGGACTAGCCGCAGCATTTCGGCGCAGCTCCGCACGCCAGAAGGTCAGGCTCCCTCTAGACGCGTGCGGCGCGGCGCGATTACGTCACGCCCGCGACGCCGCCTGCTCCGCTCGAATTCAGCGCCGGAAAGCAGAGCGTACGAGTGAGGACACCGGGCCGTCATCCCATTACTGACCCCTGGACCCCAGTTTTCATTCCTGACCCAAAGGACCCTGTGCGACACCTGAGAGCACGACCCCACAACAAAGAACCCCGCCGCCTCCATAGCCCTCCTCTCTTGGGTCCTGCCGCCAAAGAGCCGGTGCTTGTTCAGCCAATGAGCGTTAAGTCTGAAAAAAGTGGCCCGCCCATGGCTGGGAGGTTCTGGGGAGGACACCTAAGGGAATATAACCAATAACTGTTACGCTTTGGGTGTAAGTCCCGCCCTTCAGGCCCGCCCCCAGCAATGGTCTTTCTCCATTCAAAAATGTGGTTTTTGTTTTTTTTCCGAAAGTTATCAACAGTGGTGTTTATTTTAGAAACTGAAAAACAAAAAATAAAAACAAAAGAAAGCTGTGGAAATGCACCTAGTATTTTTGAAAAGTAATTTTTCTAATCTGTTTATATCTATTTTTTTTTTTAAATTATTTATTTATTTATTTATTTATTTTTAGTCTCACTCGAGGATATTTTTCCATTTTTTGTACAGATAGAGTGGGAGGGAGAGACAGAGAGAGAAACATCGACGTGAAGGGACACATCGAGTGGCTGCCACCCGCACGACCGACCAGGGCCGGGGACAAACTGCAACCGAAGTACGTGCCCTTAGCGGGAACCGAACCCGGGTCTCTCCGGACCGCAGGCCGACGCTCTAACCGCTGAGCCAAACCGGCCAGGGCTATATCTAATTTTTTATTAATTTATTTTTGTTACGGATGTTTCTCCTTTTTCCCCCATTGACACCATCCTCCAGATCCTGCACTACTACCCTAGCATTGTTGTCTATGTCTTTTGGTTACTCATAAATGCATATAAGTTCTGTGGTTTATCTCTTCTCTTCCCCGCTCAGCTCCCCTCTATTGAGATTTGTCAGTCTGTACCCTACTTCTATGTCTCTGGGTCTATTTTGTTCATCAGCTTGTTTTGTTCATTATATTCCACAAATAAGTGAAATTATGTGGGTCTTTCTCTGATTGGCTTGTTTCCCTTAGCATAATACTCTCCAGGTTCCTCCATGTCATCTCAAAGGATAAGAGAATTTTCTTTCTTACAGCTGCATAGTATTCCAGTGTGTATATGTACCATAGCTTTTTTTTTATCCACTTGTCTTCTGATGGACACTTGGGCTGTTTCCAGATCTTAGTAACTGTCAATTGTGCTGCTATGAACATAGGGGTACAAATATTCTTTCTGATTGGTGTGTCAGGCTTCTTAGGGTATATTCCTAGAAGTAGGATCACTGGGTCAAATGACTGTTCAATTTTTAATTTTTTGAGGAAACACCATATTGTTTTCCATAGTGGCTGCACCAGCAGTGTACTAGAGTCCCCTTTTCTCCACACCTTGCCAGCACTTGTTGCTTGATGATTTGTTGATGGCAGCCATTCTGGCAGGTGTGAAGTGATACCTCATAGTCGTTTTAATTTACATCTCTCTGATAATCAGTGACATTGAACAGTTTTTCATATGTTTCTTGGCCATTTGAATGCCCTGTTTGGAGAGGTGTCTATTTAGGTCCTCTGCCCATTTTTTTTTTTTTTTTAATCCTCACCCGAGGATTTTTTTTTTCTATTTATGTTCAGATAGAGTGGAAAGGAGGGACAGAAAGAGAGAGAGAGAGAAACATCAACGTGAGAGGGACACATCAACTGGCTGCCTCCCACACAACCAACCAGGGCTGGGGACTAACTGCAACCCAGGTGCGTGCCTTTGACAGGAATCAAACCCTCTAAATGGTTCACAGGCCAACGCTCTCACCGCTGAGCCAAACTGGCCAGGGCAGTATCTTAATTTTTTTGCTGCAATGGTAAATGGGACTGTCTCTTTCTGTGAGTTCATTCTTGGTGTATAAAAATGCTGTCAATTTCTTTCTTCTTCTTTTTTTTTTTGGTACGTGCACCTAACGGCAACCGAACCTGGGACCCTCTGGTCTGCAGGCCGATGCTCCAACCGCTGAGCCAAACTGGCCAGGGCCCATCAATTTCTTGATGTTAATTTTGTATCGTGATACTTTCCCAAATTCATTTATTAAATCTAGTACATTTTTTTCTTTTCTTTTTTTTTAATCCTCACCCGAGGACATTTTTGCATTCATCTTCAGATAGAGTGGGAGGGAGAGAGGGGGGAAGAGAAAGAGAGATGAACATTGATGTGAGAGAGACACATCGAGTGGTTGCCACTCACACGACTCCAGCTGGGGCCGGGGACAAACTGCAACTGAGGTACATGCCCTTAGCAGGAACCGAACCCAGGACTCTGGTCCACAGGCTGATGCTCTAACCGCTGAGCCAAACCGGCCAGGGCTAAATCTAGATTTTTGATGGAGTCTTTAGGGTTTTCTATGTATAGTATTATGTCATCTGCAAATAATGACAGTTTCACTTCCTCCTTTCCAGTTTGGATACCTTTTATTTTTTCTTCGTGTCTAATTGCTGTGGCTAAGACTTCCAGTACTATATTAAATAAGAATGGTGAAAGTGGGCATCCCTGTCTTGTTCCTGTTCTTAGGAAAATGCTTTTAGTTTTTGCCCATTGAGTATGATGTTGGCTGTGGGTTCTTCATATATAGCCTTTATTATGTCGAGATATGATCCCTCTATTCCCACATTGCTGAGAGTTTTAATCAGAAATGGGTGCTGGATTTTGTCAAATGTTTTTTCAGTGCCTATTGATCATATGGTTTTTATCTTTCATTGTATTTATGTGATGTATCACATTTATTTTTTTAATATGTTTTTATTGATTTTTTTTTAAAGAGAGGAAGGGAGAGAGAGAAACATCAATGTGAGAGAGATACATCGACCAGCTGCCTCCTGCATGCTCCCTACTGGGGATAAAGCCAGCAACCTGGGTAAGTGCCCTGACCAGGATTCGAACTGGGATCTCTCAGTCCATAGGCCTATACTCAATCCACTTAGCCACACCAGGCTGTATCACATTTATTGATTTTTGAATATTGTACCATCCTTGCATCCCTGGGATGAATTTCACTTAGTCATGATGAATACTTTTTTGATCTATTGCTGGATCAGATTTGCTAATATATTTTTAAGGATTTTGGCATCTATGTTTATCAGGGATATTGGTCTGTAGTTTTCTTTCTTTGTAGTATCTTTATCTGATTTTGGAATTAGAATTATGCTAGCCTCATAAAATGAGTTTGGAAGTCTTCCTTCTTCTTGGATTTTTGGAATAGTTTGAGAAGAATGGGTGTTAGGTCTTCTTTGAATGTTTGGTAATCCTTCCCCATGAAGCCTTCCGGTCTGGGCTTTTCTTTGCTGGGAGTTTCTTGATTATATCTTCAATTTCCTTAGTTGTTATTGGTCTGTTGAAGTTTTCTTTCTCTTCTCAGTTCAGTTTTGGGAGACTATATGTTTCTAGAAATTTGTCCATTTCGCTTAGATCGTCCACTTTGTTGGCATATACTTGTTTGTAGTATTTTTTAATGATCCTTGTTTTTTTGTTTATATGCAGGGTCTTGTCTCCTACAGAAAGCCCTCAGGATTGAATCTACCAGACCATGCCTATCTGCTTAGATCCCCCAGGGCAGGGCTGTGTCCCCCTGGATTCCCTCAGATTAGGTCTGTGTCTCCCCTATGCCCTAGGCCAGGATCCTGCCCCTATGAGACCTGCCAGGGCTCTCCAAGGAGGTAGCAAAGTGGGGAGTCCACAGATCCTGGGTTGCCTCTCTTATTGCCCACCCCCTCAACAGAAATTCAAATGCTCATTTTTAGGTCTTTTGAATGACCTCCAAGGGGCGCCATGAGCCCATAGCAGCCTTCCTTGCCTGGTCAGGACTGAATACCAAGAGGTCACTGTGGTCTGGACTAAGGTCAGTGTCCAAGAATGTGGTCTTAGAGCCATCCTCAGTTTTCCTATCTGGTAAATGGGGTGGTTGTGGGACTTAAATGAAATAAATGGAGGCAAAGAGTGCTATGATTGGTACAAGGTGAAAACTTAATACAGAGCATTATTTATTATTATTATTATTTTTTTTTTTTTTTTAAGGTGAGTTTTGTTATCACAGTGAGGCAAGAGCCAAGGCAGGGATGGGGGTGGACACTGGAAGATTTGAATGATATGCTAAAGATGTGGGCTCTTTTTTGCATCTGATATAAAACATAAATATGTATATAAAATATTAATGAAAACTTAAAATATATTTCTTTTTTTAAAAATACTTTTTTGCCCTGCCCAGTTTGGCTCAACAGTTAGCATGTCAGCCCATGGACCATAGCGTCCCAGGTTCAGTTCCTGCTAGGGGCACGTACCTCTGTTGCGGTTTGTCCCCAGCCCTGGTTGGGGTTGTGTGGGTGACAACCACTCGATGTTTCTCTCTCTCTTCCTCCTTCTCTCCCTCCCGCTCTATCTGAAGATAAATGCAAAAAAGTCCTCTGGTGAGGATAAATATATATATACACACACACACACACACACACATACATATATATGTGTGTGTGTATGTTTTTATTGATATTTGAGAGAGAGACAGACAGAAAGAAACATCAATGTGAAAGAGAAACATTGATCGGCTGCCTCCTGCATGCTCTCCACTGGGGATTGAGCCTGTAACCCGGGCATATGCCCCAACCCACCCGGAGTCATCGAACCAGGACCCCTCAGTCCATGGGACCACACTCAATCCACTGAGCCATACTGGCCAGGCGACAATATATTTCATTGTGTATTCTATACCTGTAAGAATAACTGTTGAGTGTGTGTTTAAAACTCCACTGTCTTTGCAATTTTAAAAAGTCTTTTAGTCCTTTATTTTGTAGAATTTTACTTATTAGTTTTATGTTTGCGTAGGTAATTCACACCTGGTAATGAAAAAATTAAAAAC